AAAATAAAGAAAATGAATAAAAAAAAGAAAAAAGACCAAAGAGGCAACATTAATACCAAAAAAAAAAAAAAAGAATTACTAAAGTAAAAAAATATATAAATATATTATACTAGACTATTTGAGTTAGTAGTCTGAAGAATTTTATCAGTTTTGAATAACAGTTAGTAAATAATAATAAAGAAGACAACATGAAGATGAGTATTAAGATTTAGATAAACTTTATAAAAATATAGCAGTTTTAATAGTAATTCTAATTGCAAATGCTAGTTTAGGTCAAAATAATATTAAATTAATTGTAAGTATAAGATACAAAAGGTTTTAATGAGTTTAGTACAAAATCAAAAATTCTTTATATAAGTAAACTGCTTTAAAGATTTTATAATTATAACATATTTGCACTAATATTAATTAGACAGTTAGTAAAATAAATAAATAATAAATATAAGAACTAAAATATCCAAATAAAAAACTTACAGATAAGTTTTAGATATGATAACTAGTATAGAACCTTTAAGTGAACTATTTAAATTAAACAATAATTAAAATTATACAAATAACTAGTTGTATACTCTTTTTATAATTGCTTTTGTGGTTGCTATATCAATAGCTATTAGCTAAAACATATTATTAATAAAATTCTAGTTTGCAAGTATTTATTTTAATATTAAAAAAAAATCAATTTTTTAATTAAAATTTTTTTAAAATTTATTTAAGTAAAACAGCATATATTTTTGATTTTATAATATAAAATTAAATATTGTTATAATATAATTCTTATTTTTAAATATTATTTAATAAAAATTTATTTAAATATTTTAAAATTTAAAAAAATAAATCATAAACATATTTTTAATCATTTTTAAACAAATTTGTCTAAAAAAGCCTACATTAAGAAATAATATATTCTTTTTTATTTTTTTGTCTATATTTATTATTGTTATTTTTTATACCTTAGTATTTAGTTCTTTTGTTTTTTTTTCTTGTTTCTTCTTTTCTTATAAAAAAATGTTATCAGATTAATTATATATAATTAAAAAATAATGGTTTAATAAGCTTTTGGGTACTATAACATCTTTAATATTATGCAACTAATGCTAGCAAATTAACTGTAAAACCCATAAAGATAAACATAAATAAGCATATTTGTAAGATGTCATAACTAAAGTTTAAGTAATATCTGCTCAGTGTAATAGACATTTTTTAATAAAAAGTTTAGTAACAAGTGATAAAAAAAACATTTATAAAATCTGTGCCAGGTTATGCATGTTATCAATTAACAAGTAAAAATTTTCTAAGTTCTCATGTTGTATGAAAATTTCAAACTTTAAGCAAAAATATCCAAATAACTACTCATTTAAAAACAATGCAAATTTCGTTATTCAATTATATGAATCAATAAAATTAAACCAAAAAAATTTTCATCGATTTTATATAATATCATCATTCAAAGTTTTGGTTTGATAATCGTTTAAATTTTTTTGAACTTTGAGTGATGATATCTAGATTGTATCTATGATTTTTTTTTTTTTTTGATTCTATAGATTAACAAAATTAAAATATATTTTGTTCATCAAGTTTAGATAAGAAGCTAATGAGATATCATCGCTCAAAGTTCAAAAAAAATTTAGGCAATTAACAAAGCAAAGACCGCGCCTAAGTTTTTTCCAAACTTTGAGTGATGATATCTCAATAACTGCCTATCTAAATAGATGAAAGGTTTTTTTATTTTAATTCTAGCAATTTTAAATAAGTAGTTATTAGGATATTTTCGCTCAAAGTTTGAAAATTTTCATACGGCATGAGAACTTGGAAAATTTTTGTCAACATGCATAACCTCTTCACACGAAAGTCTGCTTATGAGGTATAATTTCCATATCCGGTGTTTGTTTTCGCGTTTCACGTTTTTTCTTTATAAACATGCAATATAACTGGTTTTTTTTTGTAAAGCACTTAATCCTTCCGGAATTCAATTCCTTATGCTGAACCTAAATCTTTTGCTCAAATAAATTTTATGAGGCACTGATAATGAATTTATCTGGCAACTTACTACAGAATTTATTCAACGGGAAAATCATATAGTGATCTAATTTATTCAGCACTACAAGTTACTCTCAAAATAGTGAACTTGGTATAATGAGAAACTAATTAAAACCTCGATATAGTGAAATTGAGTTCAAAACCAGCTTATATGAAATCTTCCCATTATAATAAACTTATATGAATTTATTAATAGAGCTCCTGATACAAATAGCTTAACCATCGGGTGGCTTTATGTTTTACGATTATGCCATTGTAGAGAAAACATGTAAAATTATCTGTAATGCCGTATCAAGTTTTCTTTGATCCTGATGAGCTTCAAAGTATTATAAAAAAAAATAGGCTATTTATTATCAAGTAATACGGTAATTTTTGACTACTATTACTGGAAATTTTGTGGCTGTTTTTAACTACCAATTAAGAATTACTACTAACACCATATTAGAATAATATTAAAAATATTGAAACAATTCTTTATATTCGTGGAAAGGTTATTCTACAATCGTTAATTCTCGTTTTCTATCCTTAGCATAAATGTCTTTGTATTTATTCCAAATCTCATACAATCCCGCAATGTATTTTTTCTGTACTTCAAGCACCTCTTCATCCGTAGGGTTATCATTTTGTACAACATCAATAGGGGTTCCCACTATTTCAAAAGAAAAGGTTAATGTTATTGCTCATTATGACAAAATGACAATTCGTAAAAACATACCAATTGTAGTGATAGGTCTTCTATGAGGTAAAACACCCCAGTCGTCTAGAAATAAAGAATTAATATCTACTTATAATAAGGAAATTAATACACATCATTGCCTAAATAACTTACAATTAAATAAACCACGACCATGAAATAGTGGCAATGTCCAACCAGAAAGACTTTGCATAGATTTTTGGAATTTCCAAATTTTGCTTCCTTTAGGATTGTTAGCTTGATCCCATATATCATTTTCACCAAACGAAAACACAGGGCACAATGACGCACTATTTGAAAAAGACATTGATTTATATTCTAGCGATAGAAAGTACGTTATATATTAAAAATGATGAACGGTATTTTACAGTTCTCACCCGCTCTTAAAGGCTATTCTGATAAAGCCCAACCTCTTTTTTAAAATCAGGTCATTAATACCAGGGCGTGCACTTAAACTCTCGCCAGCACCACCAATAACTATCATAACAGCGTTTCCAGGACCCTTACGCAAAATGTTCATAATAGACTGACGGGACACAGAAGCGAGACCTTGGGCCATAAGATAATCTCGATAAATCGGTATATTGAAATTGCCTGCAAGTGTCAACACGCGACATGTAATGCCAGGGAACAATTCAGAATGGCCAGTCGCTTCTGTAGCAAAGGCTATCCAAGCACCAACGGAGATGACGCCATGTGGATGATAACCTATTAAGGAAAAAGACAAAAAAAAACATAAGAGTTAAAGACAACCGTATTTTAGGCAATGGAGTAGTATACCCGAAATCAATATTGGCAATTTTTTTGACCTTTGGCCGGCCAAAATATGTAACTACCAATGGCCAGTAGCTAAACTTCGGCCAAGAGTTTCTAACCTATATAATCATATTACTAGCTTCTATATATGAATATTTGGCTGTTTGGGCAAATAAATTTTTTGGCCCAATTCAGCTAATGGCCGCAGTCATTGGCTGGCCAAATGGCCAAGTGACAAAACACCGCCCGAAACCATTTCCCCGACTGGTCATTTACTCGACATCATTCAGAATGACAATTTACTAACGATATATGCCTACAACCAGTGTTATACATTTTCACTGCCAAAGCTTTTTTTTTGCTATGTCTTAATAATTAATAAATTAATTTAAAAAAAGTATAATTATATAATTTTTAGGTGCTGAATATGTTTTTAAAGAAATTAAAATAGATCATCTTAATAAAATTTTGAGTAATTTCATGTCTCAACTGTCCCATGTACAACACTGCCTACAACTAATATAATGCTAATTATCATCTATAATTATCATCTATGATGTCATGTCAGGGAAATAATTTTCGAGGAAATGAACAGAGTGGCTGAAGATTGGATCGGATTAACCCATTAACGACCCATATTTAAGATACTTACCGAATACATAAGTTTTTGATGGATCCAAATCGCTTTCCTATAAAATTTTAAAGAAATACGCTGGATTGATATTATCTGCGTGAATTAAATATTCGAAGTAAGAAATATTACCTTTATCAATTTAGCAGGGAAATAATCAGAGTACCATTTCCAAAAATTCGCTCTCCTAATGAAATCAAATCTGCGACCACCATTTTCTGGTGCGAAATCAAAAAGCACAAATAACAAATATGGAATAATAAAGGGCCATAGGAAAATTATTGTACAGCATATAAAAAAAATAAACATTGTTAAAGGTAATGAAATGAGCCAAAAGGCAACGGCTGCCGTTTGGCGTCGTCTTTCAAATGGCACATTAAGAGGAGCTAATCGAATTTTTGGGTTGTTTGGCATCATTACCGTCGAATAGAGTATTTTTTTTATTAAAGGTTTTTTTTTTTTTATATATTTATATATATTTCGTGATTTTTTACTGATCGGCCGTATTTGTCTCAAACTCAAATGATTTTCACGCGCTTTCGATAGACTCACTCAGTATTTATATGTTGGGATGTTAACGATAACGGCAATTTGTAATATTATATGAATGTTGTAGAGTGAAGACCTGTAACTATATTTAATGATTTGCTACGATCAGCTACACGTACCACTCATATAACAATATTATAATGTTAATCTACTATATACGTTAATGAAACTTTTATACGTAAAAATGATCTGACAATAAGACCATCCAATCAAAATCCGAATTTGATAACGATAGATATTTCATATCCACCGATTTGGTTTTTTATAACAAGCAACCGATTTGTCACATGCAAAATTTTTTAATATGGAGTCAAATGATCGACGCACCTCAATTTTATATATAAAATTTAGACAAAATTTGCTTTCTAGGCTTATTTAATAATAAAGGAATTGCCAGTTTAATTTTTAAATATCATTTCGAAAATTTTTTAGCATTCAAAGGTTCTTGTTACGAAATTTTAAGGATGGTCAAAAAAGGAATCATGCTGTTTGTTTGTATGTGATAATTAGCGATGTACATCATTTATCCAAAATAAGTAATAAATTGGCCATGACCATAACGATAATTCTTCTCAAGTTTATTTTTAACCATCAAGAACCTTTGAATGCATTTTCGAAATGATACCCAAAAATCAAACCAGTAACACCTTTATTTATTAAATAAGCCTAAAAGAAAGAAAGTTTGCCTAAATTTTACATATAATTTTAGGCGTATTAAAAATGGATCCGTCGATTTGTGTAACTTATGACAAAATTTAGATGTGACAAATCGGGTGTCTCTATATACAGTATACTGTATGTATGTTGTCTTTGAGCCAGATTTGCATAGTTTATTTTAAAATTTTTTACGTACGTACGTATACGTTTTACAATACTTCTTTAGAAAGCTTGCATGGAACGTATTAAGCTTATTGTTAAAATAAATACGTACTTTACAAATATATATAATACGTATAAAAAAATCGATATTAAAATTTATTTATATATAGTATATATATATATTTATATGTACATATAAAAAATATATCTATTTCTTAATACGTTATGCAGGCAAATTTGCCTGCAAAATTTACTTTATGTATAATTTCTAAACAAATAGATAGTTGGGGTCCCTTTAAATTAGTTTAATCAGACTTATATAATATTTTAATAAAGTATTAATTACAAATTTATAATTTTTTTTTTTTTTTTGGTGTTAAAGTGAGGCTTTGCTCATATCTTTATTAATAATTTTAACTGTATATTTTAGTACAAGAGTACTGAAATAAACTAAGGTTGTTTGTAA